GGGCGGCGGCACGGAGCTACCGGGACACCGGGCTACCGGTGCCGGGGTCCGGTAGGGGGCTACCGGTAGGGCATGCCGAGTGCCAACGTACGTAATAATCTGAGAAAAATGTTTCTTTCCCAAGGTTTTCAACTTGCACAGCCACAGAGACTGCAATTATATAGCTGTGTATATATATTTATGGGACGTGCGGTCATCCTCACAAGACAAAACATACGATGACATATTATTATTTGTCCGCCGATCTTTATGTATGACTAATTGCGATCATTTTAATTGTCAAAATCGCTGAAATTGCACATTTCCTGTTGAAATACGGGGTGAAACGTGATGTGCGGCAGCAAGGAGCCGAGCTGAACCTATGATTGCGCAATCCATCCCAAACTGGGCTGTTGGTGTCTGTCGGCGTATCGCTGAAATACATTTCTATAGTCTGATTTTGGAGTCTGGCTAATGTCTTCAAGTATGTCTGTCTGTCTGTCTGTCTGTCTGTCTATTTATTTCCCGGATATATTAGTGTGTGGTTGAATGGGTGAATAAGGTATATTAACTTAAAGCACTTTGGAGAAAGGTGCTTTATGGAGTTCACTCCGTTTTCTTTTATTAGTTTATGGGGCGTTCTGCCACATCCAAGATGGCGGACTCGTAGACGTATCCTTGCAACGGACTAACAGTCTCAACGCGGCTTCATCTTAAGTCTATGGTTCCGGTTATGTGCCGTTGCAGCGCAACAGGAGTCAGTTTGCGTGGATCGAGCTGTGGGCTGGTCGTGATTGGAGAGGAGAGTTTGGGCGCTGGACTGACGTGGCAGCCGAGGAAACGTCGGAAGCTTTCGGTGGTGGGACTGAATGGAGCAGAGGAGAGCAGTAGCAAAGTCAAAGCATCCAGGCAAAAGCAGCTTGGATTTAAATCAGAACAATGCAATGGTGGATTTAGAAAGGAGTGACTGGAAAAGTATGGATTATAGCGAAGAGGAAGAGATGGATGATCAAAATGAAGGGAAAGAGTGGGAAAAGGTGGGGAAGGGTGGTAAGAAACAGCGAGCTGCTGAAAGACAGAGGAAAAAGCGAAGTGAAGAAAGTACAGAAAGTACTGATAGTGAAGACATTGAGGGGAAAACAGAAGAGTTAAAAAATCTAAACATTATAGTAAGATTTGATGAA